TCTCTCTCTCTCTCTCTCTCTCTCTCTCTCTCTCTCTCTCTCTCTCTCTCTCTCTCTCACTACTATAAAGACAAGCTGTGGCTAGTCTTGACTCATCTATACCTTATGGGTGGTTGGCGGTTGCTCAGGCGTGGTTTGCTTCTTCTTTCCTATCAAACATCTATCGTCTTTATCACCCCTTCTTCTTTTTTGTGTTTGTTACTTTCTTGTAACATCTCTGATCTTCGGCACTTATATGACCTTATTGTGTTGCAAGTGCAGTGAAACACTTACTAAGACTAAGACATCTAGACCTTTCTAAAGCAATTGTCACGCGCAGGTGGTAAAGGAGTAGCAACCAATTACTTGTACAGCTCCAGCCAAACTTTACATGCATTCGTGACATGAGCGGGGGGTAATTATGGGTAGCAACCAATTAGGTGCATAGCTCCAGCTGACCTTAACATAAATTCAAATTGAACATTGCTGCCGGAGCAGAATCTAGGCTATATACGTGTCACGGTCCTTGTAGATTAACGTCATTATTTTATCTGATACTTTTCCGTCCTAGAGCAGCCTCATTTTTAAATGTTGTTTAGAAAGTTGTTTTAAATCTAAAATCTATTTACCCACAATTTTTAGCATTTTAACAATTTCAATTTGAAATATTGACCAAAATCAGGCCGTGCAGTGAGCTGTTGAGAAAAAAAAAACCCAACTTATTCTTCGCGCTCATATTATTATGACCTTATGCAGCTGCGAGCGCCGTAGAACCCCATACTAAACTAAACTAAAACCTTTTTGTGGGTGGTTGGCAGGTGCTCTGGTGTGGTTTGCTTCTTCTTTCCTATCTAACGTCTATCATCCTTAATATCCTCTCCTTCTTTTGTGTGTTTGTTACTCTCTTGTAACACCTCTAATCTTCTGGCGCTTATATGACCTTATGCAGTTGCGAGTGCCGTAAAACTCTTACTAAAACAAAACTCTCTCCACACAATAAAACTGAATAACTTCATCAACAATAACCTAATGACCCCCACCCCCCGCTCCCCTCTCTGTGTGTTTCCTCCACACAACAAAACGGAATAATTTCATCAATAATAACTCAATGACCCCCACCACCCAAACCCCTCTCTACATGTACCCCCACAGGCTTCACCTTCTCCCTCTCTCCACATAACAAAACGGAATAACTTCAACAATAACCCTCCCCCCATCTCCCCTGTCTGTGTGTATGGTCTCTCCTCTCTCTTTCTCTCTCTCTCTCTCCACGCAACAAAACGGAATAACTTCATCAACGATAACCCACCCCCCACATCCCCTCTCTGCGTGTATCCTTCACTCTACAAAACGGAATAACTTCATCAACAATAACCTAATGACCCCCCCCCTCCCACCCCAACTCCCTTCTCTGTGTATATCCTCACAGGCTTCACGTTCTTACTTCTCTTTACTAAAACACCCGCAACGAAACCAAATACTTTTACCAACAATATCTCAATGACTCCCCACCCTCACCCCACCCCACCCCCTCCCTCTCTCTCTCTCTTTCTCTCTCTCTCTCTCTCTCTCTCTCTCTCTCTCTCTCTCCCTCCCTCCCTCTCTCCACACAACAAAACGGAATAACTTAATCAACAATAACCTAATGACCTCTCCCCCTCCCCACGTCCCCTCTCTATATGTACCCCCACAGGCTTCACGTTCTCCAGCTCCCACTCGAGCCGCTGCGGCACAGCCACGGGTAGCTCCAACATGAGCAGTCAACAGTCACCGGTCAGCATGACCACAGGGACACTCGGAGTACTGGACGAGACCAGTGAAAAGTGGGTGCCCTCTCAACACTTACTTATCCATCCAACCATCCATCCATCCATCCGTCCATCCATTCGTTTGTTTGTTCGTTCGTTCATTCTTTCATTCATTCATTCATTAATCCGTTTATCCATCCGTCCATCCATCCATCCATCCATCCATCCATCCATCCATCCATCCATTCATTTGTTCGTTCGTTTTTCGTTTGTTTATTCTTTCATCCATCCATCCATCCATCCATCCATCCATCCATCCATCCATCCATCCATCCATTTTTTCGTTTGTTCGTTTGTTTTTCATTCATTCATTCTTTAAAAAAAATTTTTTTGGGGGGGAGGGGGTGGGTTTCCCATGTCCTATTTTCATGGGTGCTAGATTTTAGTTACCTATATGACATACGATTGTTATAAGATACTGTTTTCTTGGAGTATATCACTTGAAAGTTGCTGCTGCTGTAATTGCCACCTGTGAAGAAAGATTGCTGTATGTGTCAAGAAATATTATAAATAATAAATATGATGGTGGTCATGATTTTTTTTTTCAAATGTTCCTTATGAAGCCATACAGTGAAACGTTGAACACATTTATATAATTTATTTTGGAAATCCTGAATCTACCAAGTCTGAACCTTTTTTATTCTCTGTTCACAATTATGATGATGGTGATGGTGATGGTGATGGTGATGGTGATGATGATGATGATGATGATGATGATGATGATGATGATGATGATGATGATGATTTCAAATTGAAATAATCGTTGTGTTCCACTGCCATGTTTTCCGTTGTATATTGGGAGTTGTTTGTTGTTTCAGCGTGTTTTCCATGGTGTATCGGGAGTTGTTTGTGTTGTTTCTTCCATGTCTTCCGTTGTATATCGGGAGTTGTTTTTGTTGTTTTAGCATGTCTTCCGTTGTATATCTAAAGTTGTTTGTTGTTTCAGCGTGTCTTTCGTTGTATATCGGGAGTTGTTTTTGTTGTTTTAGCATGTTTTCCATTTTACATCGGGAGTTGTTTGTTGTTTCTCCCAGCATGAGTGGCTACTCCAGTACCCCAGCCAACATGTTGAGCCCGCGGCCCCTGCCGCCCATCCCCCAACAACAGATGCCCCCACACATGGTCCACATGCAGGCCGGCCAGTACGGCCACAGCGCATACCTCTACAACCAGCAGATGCAGGGAAATACAGGTACACTGGGATATTTTTTTTTTTCTTTCTTTCTTTCTTTCTTTCATTTTTTCTCTTTCTTTCTTTCTTCCTCTTTCTTTCTTTTTTTCTTCCTCTTACTTTCTTTCTTTCTTTCTTTCTTTCTTTCTTTCTTTCTCTTATTTTATTTAGTTTTGTTTTATTATAATATGTGTCACGACGTGGTGGAATCAGGCGCTCATCAACTTTTGGGCATGTGGAGTTATTGGTATAATCTGAAAGCTGATTTATTTGCTTGCTTTCTATGAAATAAATATCCGTTTATCTTGAATCGAACTCAAGATATTTGCGATTGAAGGAAGTGAGGTCACCTGGTTTCAGTGGTGAAATTAGCGAGAAAATGACTGCCAAAGTTTGGTAACTCCAATAGCTAAAGAGTCCTTGAAAACAGAAAAATGAAATATTTTGTGCCTTTAATCAATGATTTGCAGTAAAATCCACATAGAAATGTGTTTTTATATAGACATAAAAGAGGTTGAGCCCAAAAATAAAAATTTGATAAAAATGTCCAAACATTCCGAAAAATGCCTGTTTCTCCAATTTTTGTATTTTGACGGGCACCTGATTTCACCACGCTGCCTCACATTTATTTTTCTTTCTTTCTTTCTCTTATTTTATTTTGTTTTGTTTTATTGTATTTTTCTAAGGGGGGGGGAGGTG